ATTTTTTAGTTCTTTACATAGAAGGAATTATCAAACCTTCAACATCACCATGGAGATCACAAGTCATTGTAACAAACAAGAGATTTAAAAAGTGCCTAATCATAAACTATAGACAAATTATTAATTGTTTTATATGTCTTGATGCCTCAAGTAGTTGAACTTGTGAACAAAATTTTGCAATACCGATACTTGAGCACCAAAATCAGCCTATCACCAGATCCCAATTAAACAAGAATATCGTTTGTATATTGAAATCAGCCTATCACCAGATCCTAATTAAACAATAATAACGTTTGTATACTGCATTTAAAGCTGACAGAGATTCACATCAGTTCATGTGTATGCCTTTTAGTGTAACAAACAGAGTAACTCAATTTAAAAAAACAGTGGACAATTATTGCTGATGAGATATTAAAAGACTTTTGCTTATCTTGATAATTTGACAATCTGTGGAAAGATGCAAAAGGATCACGACTACACCCTTAAAATGCTTCCTTTTAGTTAAAGCAAAGAATTTAAATCACAATAACAAAAAATGTAAAAAAATCAAGACCACTACTAATGAAACTCCTCATAAAGGACTCTTTACGTATCAAAGATGTTCTGCTAATGGAGATTCAATCCAATTATAGCTTACACAACCTGGCAAGATGTTATTAAAGAGACATGTTAAAAATTTTAAGTATAAATTTGACGTAGATGAGGTATTCCTAATGGAAACAAACCCACAGTATGTGCTTATTTAGCATGCCAACGGTTGTGAATCTATGGTTTCTATTCGTTACCTTGTACCACTAACTTACAGTTAAAATCTAAACTCATCGGAACAATCTACTGTACACCTGTCACAAGAACCAAATAAGAGTGTACACTAGTTACAAAAACCAGATGAGACTGTGTCATTGTATCTTCCTGCACATCCAGTGAGTCTCGCCCTGCCATGTTCAATAAGGTTGAAAATGATATTTACCAAGATGATCAACTTGAAAGCGCACGACTCCAAATTGGTTGGATCTTTGAACAATAGGCTACTTAAAACATTAAAATGTCGGGGAGAATGTGATGAAATTTATCATTATTATTATTGTTTTGCAATATTTCTTATTATTTTAGGTAATAAAAAGTTAAAAAGAAATTATTCAGTTATTGTCATTTATCCTTCGAGTCCACAACAAGCTAAAACAATCTTTTAAATAACTTTACGCAGAATAATAACTACTTCATTTAATTTAAGTAGCCAGTTTATGTAGGTTAAATATTTGGCTGAAAATATTCAACTGAAAACAACAGGTTTAATGCAATGATTTTTTGCGTGCCGTTAGTAACAGCATATAATCAACTATATTTCCTATAGTTATAATAGTTGAAAGAAATTTCAATATTCAGGAAAACAAATAAATGATTTTGGGATGATTCATATATAAACATATAACTTGTTGAAATAAAAAATATATATCATAAAATGTGACATTACAAAAATCAAAATGTCCCGTAAGTAACAGTGGCATTGCCCACCAATATAATTTATTCACCTTTAAACTAACTTAATCTTTAATGATACACCCTATCAGATACACTCGCTATTCCTAATCTCTATATAAGATCACCAATTCTTTTCTTTTTTTTAGAGTTGCACCGCACATCTATTTGATTGTTGCCTTTTCAATTCTTTCTAAATAGTGGACATCATCTTTATTGCATGTTTCACTCCTATGCATCATTATAATCTAGACTCACATAGCGTATATCTTTTCTTTATTCTTATATATATATATATATATATATATATATATATATATATATATATATATATATAATTTTAAATGTATTCTATAAAATAGAGTGCTGAATGTTCTTAAAAAAACAGAGCAATGAATTAGTAGAAATTATAGATGATAGTATTCGATAGATAGTAGTATTCGATATACATATATATGTCGAATAGTAATATATCGGTAAAAATATTCAATATACATATATATCAAATGTATAAATATTTAAGAATGCTTAAAATATATTAATTAACATATTTAAAAACAAACACATTTGGAAAACATCAAGTTAAAATACTTATTCCATAACTCGTATAAATTGTTCCAAGGCAGTTAAAATATTATGGGGAGTTAATTTGTTTCGCCGAAAGGGGTAAAGTTATTTCAAGGGAAGTTAATCTATTTTGAAATAAATTAACTCCCCGGATAACGTTTTACGCGACGGGAGTTAATTTATTATGGGGGTTAATTTATTTCATGACACCGGCACTGCCGGCAATTACCACTAGCCATAAATAAATGTTTCGCATTAAAAAAATAAATCAAAAAAAATTTTCTTTTTAATTACAATGTAAATATAATGTATACAAAAAATGTAATGCATAAAAGTTAAATTTTTAATTTTATTTCACGCACAATACGAATTATAAATGGCAACAAATGAGTAAGTTTTAATATGATTTTTTTAATTATCAGTTTAAGTTTATTGGAACCTTATGGAAAATCCTTCAAATCCCTAGATTTTTGGGCCCTGGTAAAAACCATATAAAACCTTAACGAGCAAATATGCTTGATTTTATTACCATATGGAACCCGTCTCGAAACCAAAACACTTACCCGTCAAAATCCCGTTCCCATAAGCCCAGACAAAAACCAAACGGTACCCGTCTGTCAATGTTGGCTGGGTTAGTTCTATTTAAATTTGAAGGCAAAAAAAAAAAAATACTAAAAAACTTAATTTAAAATTTAGTGGTCAAAAACTAAATATTGTAGATAAAATAAAATTGTTTCACCAATATAACATATGCCACAAAAGCGCATATTGTTGGATGAAAGTCTTTTTTTTTTATCAAAAAAATTGAATCCATGTCAAACAAACTAAGTCAATCAAATAGAATATTTACCAAATTAAGGCATTTTGTGAATTACGAAACTGTTGTAAATATTTGGCATGCTATTTTTTATTTCCTATCTACGCTCTGGTTGTCAGATTTGGGGACAAGGTTCATTAATTTATAAAAAAAAACCTTGAAAATTTCCAGAACAAGCCATTAAGAATAATTCACTTTCAACCTAATAGTTTTAGTTCTGACATACTATATAATCTTTCCTAAATTTTAAAGCTTGATAAACTTATCTACTTATCAAACTGTGTATTTGCATGAGACTTTATCCACAATAATATGTCCAGCTGCTCAACTAGCTATTTTAAATTCACAAATAGTATTCATAGTTATAAACTTAGGTCTGTATCTTATTGTAGTCTCTCTATGTCTTTAAAACAAACATATAAGTATAGCATTAGGTCAACCAAGTATCAGTCAGTTCACTGTTGAAACTCTTTTCATGCTGAAACTAAAAAAGTATCCTTCAAAATGTAAATAGAAATGCCTTCATTACCCATGTAAAAAGGTTTATCCCCAATAAAAATAATAAATGAAATATCATTTAGTCAACCGCCCCCTTTTAGTTATTCTCTATAGCTAACCCTAATTTTTTTTTTTTTTTTTTTTTTAATGCATAAATATTTCTCTTTCCTTCTAAAATTATGCTATTATGCCTAAAAATTATGCTATTATGCCTATAAAATTATGCTATTATGCCTAAAATTATGCTATTATGCCTAAAAAATTCTGGTACATTACAAAACTTTTCTAGGACTTCCACTAAATCAACTTTTCTTTCCAAGTGATTAAACTTCTCTCCATATTCAATTCTTCTTTTTAAGTGTTATATTAATTTGTTATTGATATTATTATGGTTTTTATATTTTTATTTTGCATTTTAATTAATGATAATCACTATTTGCTAGAAATATTTTATTTTTAAAATAGTAGTAAAAATATATATAGGTTATACTGTTTTATACTGCTCTATTTAGTATTATTATTATTACTATTTTTATTATCGTTATTTTTATTTTTATATTGTTATCATTAATTTTATTAATAATAATACTTTTATGCTATAATTTGTACCAACATAGGTTTTTACACGTCATTAGTTTATAACTGTTCCGGACAATTGTTTATATTTACAGTTATGATTACCCAGGGCACGGGTAACAATAACTGGACACAGACGTAAAAAAAATGTCTTCGAAACGTCTTATAACGTTTTGGACGTCTTTTGAACGTCTTTTGAACGTTCAAAAGACATCTTTTTTTGGTCCAGTGCCCACTGGGTAAAGTAAAAAATATATTGGTTTAATTAAAAAAATCTGTCTCAAAAGAAAGTGCTTTTGACATCTAAAAAAATAAAAACCAAAACAGCACATTAAAAATTCTTTTGCTTCATTAGGTATGAGAGAATTTGATAAAGGTTATTTATTTATTAGAAGTTCTTTAATAACAAATAGTATTAGTGAAGTGAATTATGCTGCTGGTGATTGGGGAGTCCAAATCATTCTTTTCAATACTTTATTATTCCCTAACTCACTCGAGTAAATTCTAAAAAGTTTTGAAGTATGCTTTGGATCGTTATCTTCTTGAAAAATGAATAACTCTCAAATAATTTGACATCCTGAAGATATGGCAAGACTTTTTTAAATGTCCAAATACACTTCTTTTGTCTTTATTTTCTCTATTTTTACAATATAATGTGGGTATTGTTTTTAGGTTTGGGCTAGTTGGGAATATCACCTGTGATATTTAATGAGCTTATTTTTTTTAATATTCTTTGTTTTATGTTTAAATGTAACACCAATTCATCCCCGATTTCTTTTCATAATTTGTACTTATTAAAAGATAAAAATAAAAACGGCTCAATGAAGATGTATATATATATATATATATATATATATATATATATATATATATATATATATATATATATATATATATATATATATATATATATATATATATATATATATATATATATATATATATATATATATATATATATATATATATATATATATATATATATATATATATATATATATATATATATATATATATATATATTGTTAAAAAATTTGTAAAATAAAATAACAAAAATTTTTGAAAATATTTTACATTAATTTTTTAAAACAACAACTTTGGATAAATGTAATAGTTTTTTCTAATAAAAAACAAGACGCCAATAACCATGTTTACAGCAATGTACAACGTTCCAAATATTTCAACATAATCAAACATATATGGAGAACAAACAAATGCTAGAAGTGCTCCTGCAGTAAAAACTGATGAACGAATACTGTCAACATATGTCTGAACATTTGAATTTACCATATTAGCTAGTGTATTGACAAAAAAAACTTCAAAAAGTATTCGAGTCCCTCCATAACTTAGAATATAGACAATACAAAACAGTAAATTTAATAACTTGCTATTACGAAAATAAGAAAGTATAATAAAACCTGCGCTGACTATACAGTAACAACCAGAAGTAGTTACTAGTACCATAACAAGTTTCTTATTCGAAAATGGCCTCCAAATGAAGAGTAACAAAATTAAACCAGATATCCCGTTTGAACCAAAAGCACAAATATTTATTTCTGTTATTGATAGGTTAAGTTTCTCAATAATTAGCAATGGTAACCATACGTCTGTATTAGATACAAAAGATGCCAAAAAAAAGTTTGCAAACAAAAGAAGCGCTGAATCAAAGTGAAAAAACAAAGTTTTGAATATTTTGATTGCAGTATATTTTTTTAATTTCCATTTTATAAATGCAGTTTTGTTTTCATTTGTGCTATTATGATGCATTAGTGAACGATTTATTATTGGTAGTTTTTCGTTGTTTTCAATAGTACTGGCCGCACGATCTTTATCGTTTTCATATGTCATTAAATTCTTTTCTACAAAAGCTTTATAATCAAATTCCTTTGATACATCGTGCACCATTGTTGTGGTTAAAATCCCCATGACAATATAAACACAACCCATAAATAGTCCGCAAAAATTTACGTATTGCAAATGCCAGAGGCCAATAAAAAAGTTAATATCCTTGAAAGTGAAATTTATACCGGGACCAAGCATCAAGCCTAAATTAAACATTATTGATAAAATTGATAGCTTTGTGCGGGTTTCGTGTGCCGGGTAACTTCGAATTGTTTCGCTAAAAATAATAGACTGAAAGGATCCCGAAAAACCAGAAATAAGTTTTCCTATTATTAAAAATAATGGAGAAAAAGGTAGACAATAGAGCGCGTTTCCAGTCATCATCAATAAATTACATATTAAAAAACAGAACTTAACGTTTCTTTTTTTATCAACTATTCTCCCTATGAATGGTGTCAGAATAAAAGATGCAAGTATATATGACACGGAAACGAGACTGTATAACAACTTTGGTGTGTTTGTGTTTATCATTTCTTTAATGTACAACCATAATGATAAAAAAGTAAGACTGTAATCTATTCCAATAATAGTAATTTGCACCGAAAACGCAACAAACGTGCATTTTCTTTTGTTTAGCCAATTTTTGTGCTGCTGTGTATCCATAATCTATAAAAAAAGTTAAAAGATGTTTTTTTTTTTTTAATAAAGCATTTAAAAAGCGAGCTTGTTTTTTTTTCTAAAAAAAAACTACTTCAAGATAATTAGTAAATAAGGTAATGAAAACAATTTAAATTGAAAAACATTTAAAGAATTTAAATAAATTTAACGACATTTACACAACATTTAACTATAAGCTTACCGTTGTCAAAGAAATCATTCTAAGTAAATGAAGATTATGTTTTTTTTTGTTGTTTTTTTTATTAAAATAACACATTTGTTTAATTACAATTGGAAAGAAATATTTCACAATAATTTATGTTAGTTTGGTGTACAGTTGCATCAACTATAAAACTTATAATTGTTTTGTTAGCAATCGAACGTAGTAATAAACTGAGTTAGGATCTTATTTCTATTTTTTTTGCACAGCATTTTTTTTTTGGTAATTTATCAAAAAAAAAATATTAGTTTGACTGGTTTTAACGTGTTTTACAAAAACTATATAGAATATAAATAAAAAATGATTTTGTATTATCGTTCATTTTATGCAATTGTATTTACTTTGAAAGAAGTATTAAAAAAAAGATTTATGTGTGAAAGTTTTAATACCACTGGTTATACAAAATTACGATTCTTGAAAAGTATTTGACTTTTTTTAATAATAAATTCGTGCAGCATTACATTGAGTCAACAGTTTACTTTAACGTTTTCAGTTTCACTGTGAAGCAGTACTTTATGTCAAGTTTCTTTAGTGACATACAGTTTATAGTGAATGTTGTGCGTAACCACTATAAAACTTTTTTTAAATGTGTTTGCTTTGCAACATTGCAAAGTAAATAAATCAATATTATGTGAGCAAAGTAAATAAAAGAAAACATTGATCACAAAGTTATAAGGTCGTTAATTTTTAATCATTTTCTTTTCCAAGTTAAATGTTTTACCCGCCACGTTTATTAAGTCTAAGTTTAATATGCCTGTCCTATGTTAAAAAATCAAATCCGTTGTTGACAAAAGTTTTTTATTCCTTTGTTGACAATTCTTATATACAACAGCAATTATTTAGCGTTTCCTTGAAATAAAAATATATGTTTCTAGATCGTGGTTTCAAAAAATTTATTAACATTTAATGTTAGTTAAAAAGAATGTGTAAAATAAAATTAATTTAACTGTAGCATTTTATTGATTTTGAAAACAAAGAGATTTGTGAAGAATCTTAAATCCAACTTAAGCTGCAGAGACTACTGTCTCTTTGAGAAGTTTTCTATTGTAATTCTTACTCTCTGAATTTAAATATCACAGTAATTTTTGTTTAACACTTCTTATTGTTTTGATATTGAAATCTGTTTTACTGAATTTACTTTTCTTTTTTTTTGATAAAACCTTTTTTTTCATAAAATTGTTTTAGTAGTACAGCGACTTTTTTTTGCCTTAAAAACTCCCATAGCTTTATTTTGAGAAATACGAAATTTGGTCCAAAACGTCCGCAATTTTTTAGTTTTTATGAAAAGTTGCAAAAAATTACCATCTTTATCATTGAATTAGGGCTATAGATATATATTTATGTACTTTTGTATATCATGTATTTTTAAGTGTAAATATATATCGTGTGGTTTTTTATAAATTCTGCTATTTAAAAGCTTTATAGATATTGAAATTCAATTTATTTAAAAAACAAGTAACTAACTTAAACTAGAAATAATCAGCTGGATAGACTAAATGACGGTTTCTTTAACTATCAATATTATTACTTATAAAGGTAAATTTCAACTGGATCTAAAATTCCACTTTACAACTATATGTTTAAATTACAGTTAAATAGTAGTTTTAAGCAAAATAGACATAAAAATCACTTTTTTTTTTTAATGAAATACGTATATATTTACGATATCAGTCATCAGAAGGTATATGATGTAAACTGGAATTTTAGATATACACATTATGAGGCCATGTGTGATTTTTTAGATCATAAGATGGAGTTTATCCAGGAGTTTGATAGTAAGTTATTTTATTGGTAAAAAGATAGTTTAGAAACCATTATGAATTTTTTAATAGGTTATTTGAATAAAATTGGCGCGTAAAAATAAAATAAACTTTTTTCGTTACATCCGTATCCGAAAACTTCGCAATCGGCAGAAAATCAAGCAAAAAAACTGCCGTGATGCGTCTGGTATTTTTGTTTTTTGTTTTAGATATTATTTAAGATAATTATGTCATTTTCTAAAAATTGTAAAATATCTACAGACTCGTTTTGTTAAATTATTGTACTATATGAGGTCAAAACAGCCTAAACATCAACTATTGCATGAAACCAAGCTATGGACCAGGTATGTGTGTACTTTAGGATTAAGATAGGTAATCAGGAAAAAAAAAAGCTCCCCGTGAGTCATGGGGTACTTGCAGATCAGCTATGGAGAGCTAGCTACATAAGATCAAAAAAGCATGTCATTTGCCATTCTCGCGTGTGGAGAGAACCAAAGAATCACACTGAAGGATGCAACTTCTGTATAGTCAATATATCAAGATATAAAAAGGTACGAGTAGATCAAAGCTATCTTATCCTAATATTTCGCCAGCAATTGCACCAGTTCCACATACTGAACATCTGCCAGTTTCCATTCCATCAACTTCATCATCAAACCTTATCGATAAAGATAGTTCTACAGATGAATCTGAAGAGTAGTGTTCATCACTTTTCAAGCAGCCAAGTTTTCTCAAACAAAGCGAAATAGATGATTTGATACGTGACTTAGGTTTACCGAAATCTGGAGTTGAAGTTTTGACATTCAGGTTGAAACAACAGAACTTATTGGATTTAATGTGCATTTTTTAAAAGAAAAGAAAAGACATCAGTCTTTTTTTCAGTTTTTGAAGTATCGGATTGTTTATGTTTTTGCTGGGATATTGATAGTATTTATATAGAATTTGATGCATGAGATTCATGCATGAACCTAGAGCATGGTAATTGTTTATAGATAGTTCTATTCGCAGCCGTAAAGGTGTTCTTTCACATAATGGGAACAAATTTTAAACAAGTATTATAATATATTTTTGAAGTAATCGTATTATAATATATTTAATATATAAGTAACAAGTATTATAATATATTTTTGAAGTAATATTTGCCTAAAATTTTAATTTTTTACTATATAATATATAGTAAAAAATTAAAATTTTAGGCAAATACTACTTCAAAAATATATTATAATAAAAAAACCGAACCAAAAAAACCTTAACCGCGTGGCTTTATCAAAAAGTAAGCAAGTTTTTATTTATAATTTGCACACATACTCCTAACTTTAATTTGAAAAATAAGTTATAATAATTTACTACATAATATTATTATGTAGTAAATTATTATAACTTATTTTTCAAATTAAAGTTAGGAGTATGTGTGCAAATTATAAATAAAAACTTGCTTACTTTTTGATAAGGCCACGCGGTTAAGGTTTTTTTGGTTCGGTTTTTTTGATTCGGTTTTAAATACAAAAGTAATGATTCGGTTTTTTTGGTTTGGTTTAAACTTTTTTTTGATCGGTTCGGTTTCGGTTAAAAAAAAACAAAGTTTTAGAGGTCATTTATTTAATAAATTTAGAGTTAGATATTTCTAAAAATACCAAAGAAAACTAAAAATGAATTTTTATTTTTTTAATATTTTCTTTTATATAAAGAATTTTTTCAATATTTTTAACCGCCAAAGTAGTTCTTCTGGGAATGACAACGTTACCAGCCGTAGAAAAAACCCTCTCCGAAGTTGCTGGTATACAAAAAAATTTTCGTGCATAATTTGATAAAATTGGATACTGCAAATCCATAATTTTCCATCTCTCTAAAATATTTGTTGTTTCTTCAGCTGTTTTGGCTGCTAAATAATGATCAATTTCTAAACCCAATTCAGTCTCTTTCTAACCAGTTCGTGGTGATTAAATTTAACATTTTCATCACTTTCATTGTCTGTTTTGTTGCTACTCGTTGAAGCTTTTGCATGTTTTTTCTATTTTTACTGAGTCAATATTGCTTCTTTCATCACATTTTTTATGCTCAATCAAATGCAGGCCTTTGTATCGTGGGTCTAAAAAACTTGTAAAACAATTAATCAGCTGTTCAGTACCATTAATAGAATATTTTTCCTGCAGTTCACAAATTAGCATTTATTTGTGTTTGTGATGTTGCTGGGAAAGAAGCTCTTGGTGCAAGAAATATAACTCAGGTATCACATCTTGGATTGTTGGTATTTTATCGGCTGAGAAGATTACTGAAACATTGTAAATTTTTAGAATACAGCATTCAAAAAATTGAATGCTGTATTCTAATGTCTTCCATTGATTGTCTAAGGGACATGACCTTTCAAACTCAGCATAGGTTTTTGCAAGTCTTTTGATTGCATCTTTGACTTCAAGGACTGACTTTATGCGCATGTAATCAGAATCCCATTGTGTTGTGCATGGAACAATCAATTTCCTGGGCTTAATTTCAAGTTCTTCAACAAGCATCTTGAAGCTTGGTTGTAGAGAGTACACTTTTATGTGTGCGTGATGCTAAATCTGTACAGTTTTTTTATTGTTGTAAAAATTTTAATTGAATTTTTGATTGCTTTAAGAATAACTAGCTGGATTGTGTAATCATTACTGCGCAATTCGAAAATAGTTTCTTCACTTTCTTTAGCAGCTAAAACAATGTTGCTAGCATTGTCATTAACACAGGCTCGATGGACTTCTTCATTTAAATTTAAATTAGCAATAAAAGAGTTCATGTTAACTGCATTAGCAACCTAGTGTGTCTTCCAGTAAATGGTGCGCAAGCAATGAGAAAACTTTCTAAATTAAAGTCTGAACTAATGTAGTGAATTGTAAGAACTGTAGGAATCATTGTTTCAACTTATCCAGAGATCTGTTGTAAAACTAACTCCAGTTACTTCTGGAAAATTTTTGAGAAATTTTATTTGCAACCCCTCCTTTACCTTTTCATTCAACATAGGAAATTTTTGACGTCTAAATGTTTATGCACATTTTACAGTAAGTTTGCAATTTACTTCGTCAATAAACTCTTGTGCACCTTCATTGTTTAAAATTTCAAAAGGTAGACCAAGCTTTTAAATAAATTTTGTTAAATCTAAGTCAAACTTTAATTGCTTTGGATCATTTAACCTATATTTTTGGTTTTTTATAATGCAACTTTCAATTGTAGTTGTTTTTGTCTCTTTTTCTTTAAGTTTTTGTTTATTAAGTTTCTCAATAGTTTTTAAAACATGTTCTTTCCAAGAGGCTTTATGTTTAGATTTGCATCTCAATAGTTTTTAAAACATGTTCTTTCCAAGATGCTTAGATTTGACATGGCTGGTTATTGTTGAAGTA